CTGCCCAGGGAAGGGGTCGAGTCCCCAGCCCTGGGGGGATTTAACAGCCGGGCAGAGGCGGTGCTGAGGGCCAGGGTTTGGGGGTGGGATGGCAGGGATAGGGGAGCGGTTGGGCTGGGGGAGTTTAAAGGGCTTTTCCAACCCAAAGGATTCTCTGAGATCAGGGGGGAGCATCCAGCCACGGCTCAGCTCCTCACCTGCCCCCGCAGACGTATTTCTTGATGAGGAGGACTCCGGCCACGGCAGTGACGAGGAGCACGGCCACCACGGCCAGGATGATGGGGGTGGAGCTGGTGGACGCTGCCTGCAAGGAGAAGAGGAAGATTCCAGAGTCGCGGGGCTACCACCGTCCACCCCCAAACACAACCAGCACCCCGAGGGGGATAAAAGCCACGACATCCGTGCAGCACCCAGCCAGGATTGAGGCAGGCAGGAGGCCCCGGGCAGGCTTAGGCAGGACAGCCCTGCCCAGCACAGATTTATCGGCTCCACGGGTAGGGGCAGGGGATGGCCCAATGCCCAGAGCCACCGCCGCGCCCAGCCAGCGTCACCGTCACCTACCAGCTGGCTGGGGTTGAGGAAGTTGCTGGTGCATTTCTTCTTCATGTCCGTCTCCTTCCGGCTCGGGCTCTCCCCTCCCAAACACTTGTCCCCAGGGATTTTCCGGTACCTGGAGATTGGGAGGTGACACCTGGTGACCCCACAGCTCCCACAGCCACTTCCCAGGGACAGTCAGCCCCGATCCAAGGCGATGGGGCAGGATCTGTCCCCGTTGGATGCAGGGTGAAGGATTCCCTGGGGATTAGGGATTTCCACCCTATTCCTCCCTAACCCTGGCTCCAGCACCGACACCGGCCGAGCTTTACCCGCTGGTCTTGAGCAGCTCCCGTCTGCCGTAGAGGCAGAATTCCAGGTCGTGTCCCTTCAGCTCCGGCTGCTCCACGCAGACAGACTGGTTCTCCGGGCGGTAGTAGCCAAAATCACTGTGGGAAAAAGGGGGAAAACAGATGAGACCCTGCTCGGGGACCCAGTGGGAGCCGGGCTAAAGGAGGGTGACATCCAGCCCAAAATGGGGGCAGGAGTGGGGAGACGGGAAGATGGAGGCTACCAGAGAAAATCCTCCAGTGTGCAGGGACAGACGGATGGCTGCTTGGTCACCATGTAGTCCCGGCCGTTCTGGCACACGGAGGACTTGCGGAGACGCCGGTATTGTTCCTTGTAGCCCAGTATGCAGCCGTCACTGGGGTCACTGGGATTGCTGGAGTGGGCCAGCCAGATGGTGTAGTCCTTGTCCTCGCCTGCGAGGGAGAGAGGGCTCAGCAGCACGGCCGGGGGGGCCCCGGGGGACGGCACCACCGCGGCAGGACGCTGCTCCGGGGGGGAAGCAGCCCGGCACGAGCCACGGGCAGGGCACGGAAACCCCAACCGCTCACCCCGACACGCTGTCCCCACGGTGGGGACCAAGAGCCCCTGGCACAGACCCTGCTAACATCACCTGCACCGAGGGCTGGGGGCACGAGTGTCCCCCAGCCCAGCCCTGGCTGTCCCCAGCCCTGGCTGCCCCTGGTCTCAGCTATCCCTGGCCCTGGTTGTCCCTGTTCCTGGCTGTCGCTGGTCCCCAGCTGTCCCCAATCCTTGGCTGTTGCTGGCCATCCCCGTTCCTGGTTGTTCCCAGTCTCAGCTGTCCCTGGCCCTGGTTGTCCCCATCCCCATCTCTGGCTGTCCCCAGTCCCTGTCCATCCCCATCTCTGGCTGTCCCTGGTCCCTGGTTGTCCCTGGGCCCTGTCCATCCCCGTCTCTGGCTGTCCCCGGTTCCTGGTTGTCCCTGGCTGTCCCCGTTTCTGGTTGTCCCTGGCTGTCCCTGTTCCTGGTTGTCCCCAGTCTCAGCTGTCCCCAGTCCATGGCTGTCCCTGGCCCTGGTTGTCCCTGGCCCCAGTTGTCCCCAAGCCCCAGCTGTCCCCCATCCCGGCCCCGGCAGCTCTCACAGGTCCTGCTGAGCAGCTCGCTGAAGTCGATGGTGTAGGAGACCCACTTGCGGGAGTGGAAATTCTCCCGGAAGCCCCAGACGCTGACGTTCATGGGGCGAGCCCCTGGCTCGG